TGGAGTCACACTACAGAGTGGGGCTCCCTGGGGCTTCAGGACAGAAAGGAACAAAATCTACAGCTTATACCTGCCCTGCTGTTCAGCCAGTCAGAGAGGCAGGGCTGTAGGCCCCTCAGGGGCTCCTCATGGTCCACAGGAGGGTGGGGCAACCTGGCCAGGGCCTCCTGCAGTGTCAGAGCCCAAAGTCCCCATTCTCTCTAGGCTCAAGTTTAGGGGTCAGCTAAGAGCATAGCTGGGGCTCTTGATTTTCTTATCGAAATTGTCAGTCCACCCAGCTTGGACCAAACATTCTTTCTAGCAAGCAGCTTTGAGAGCCTCCAGAGCCCACACAAGTCCCTTGGGTGGAGGAGATTTCATTTTTGTCTGAGCAGATAAGGACAGCAGATGACTCCTCATCCTTGTCTGTGGCCTCCTGCTATTCTCAGCAGCCCTAAAGAGAATTCTTACCATAATTCAAGGGATTTCCAGAAGTTCTGGAGCTTCTGAGGAACCATCAAGGAAACTTTGAAAACTTGACAAATGTCCTTGAATTAAGACTTCTCGTCTGTAATAAAACCATGATGGGGAACTCTACCTAGGCCAGGCCCCCTGCAGTTCATTGCTTCCTGCCCCCTTTCTTCTCCTTGCTCTAGCTTTTGGGATCACCCGTGCTGCTGCCATTGTGGTGGCTGCTTCCTGGAGCTAAGGTGAAGCAAACCTGAAGTCCTAGCTGACAAGCCTACAAGGATAGAGAAGGAAGGAAATCAGGGCAAAACCCTTTCATTTGATTGGTGGGGAAATTGGCATCTGGAAGAGGAAGTGACTTGCCCAAGATCACCCAGCTGGAATACAAACTCAGTTGCCTGACCTTCAGCACAGGGTCTTTCTGCTCTATAGCAATGCAATAGGAGCCCAGGTCACGTTTATCTCTGAGCCATGCCCACCAACAAGCAAGTTCTTTGAGGTCCTTCATCTGGCTGTTAGGTCACCAGGACTTTCCTTGGACATCCACTCAGGAAAATAAAAAACATGGAGAAACATTGGGCCATTGAAAAATGATCTGAGACAACTTTAGAGAGCAAGGTAGGATGGATGGATGGATGGATAGATAGGTAGGTAGATAGATGATAAATAGAATATACTGTATATATACGTACACTGCCCTCTACATTTTCCAGATTGTTGCCATTATTTTTCAAATGTTTAATAGTTTATAGAAATAGGTACTCAGGCCAAAGTCTCTGTTCCGCCAAACGAACCCTTTGTGGAGGACTGGTCAGGGAAGCTTTCTGTGGAAGTAAGGGATCATTAGTCAAAATTCCTGCATTTTCCTTTCTTATCAACATCCCAAATGCAGAGGAGACCAAGAAAAGAGCTGTGACCACATATAGTCTCTTGGGAATACTTTGAGAATTTATCCAGAAAGAAAAATAATTTATTTTTTCATTCATCTGTTTGTCCCACCCTCTATTCATTCATTTAGCCAGCATTTATTGAGTACCAGTTGTGTGCTGGGCTCTATGCTGGGTGCCAGGGACACAGTGGGGAACAATAAAGATGTAATCTCTGTCCCCTTGGAGCATACCATCTGGTGGGAGGGCAGTCATTAAACAGGTAGTTAAAAGCAGGATGTAATCTAGAGATACCAAGTCTCTAGGTTAGTCAAAGAAGCTTTTTACAAAGAAGAAAAAGCTATCAAACGCCTTTGGGGCTCTTCTATCTCACCATAGACCATAGTTTGCGGCTGAAGGAGAAGGTGGAGCAGCACCCTTTGACCCAGATTTCTGAGAAAATCATGTAGTGTGATGAGTGGGGAAGAAGAGAGGCAGGTAGGTAGGTAGTTGCTGGGAAGGTATCTTTCTAGAAGGCCAAAGGCATAAGCCTCTATGCTTGAACAGACCACATTTTCATTTTCAGGATCTGAGCAGAGACAGATACCCATGTTGTTTCTCTATATGGAGAGGGGAGCTGGGTTTATAGCTTGATTCTGAGCCCTAAGTCTCATCTCTTGGGGCATTTAACTCAGATTCCTGCAGACCTTACCCTTGCTGGCCCTCAGGGAAACACCGTTCCTCTTCCAACACACTGCCTCCAACTTGAAGTAGCCTAGGTCTTCTAGTCCAGCTAAGATGGGCTAAGATTTTCCAAAGTTCTTAAATTAGGGGAGAATAAAAAAGAAACAATGAGAAAATCCCCCCTTCCCTCCAAAAAAAAAAAAAAACCTAAACACCATCTAGGTTAACAATGGCTAATTGTCTACCAGGATTGCAGAATCAAACTTTGAATTTCTTAGCGTTCTCACTGACCTGCACCTGTCCCTAAGAAAGAATAGGGTTACAATCACCAGGACCTTCTTAGGGTTTTAACAGGAGGCCAGTCAGATTAACAACCCTCCTTGGATGAGCGATGCTCTTCTCATCTGACTTCAGATGCTACCAACTCAGGAATTGTCCCAGCAGAGAGGGCCATTCTCTCCCAGCTTCTAGGAGGAAATTCAGGAGTATTTTCTATGGAGAACTATCCACAGGACGACGCCTATAAAGGCAAGTCCTACGTGGACCATGTGGTTGTTTGAAGCATGACTCATAACCAGTGCAGCAAATGGGGAAGGGCTTTCAAAGGTGGGGCTGGTGGGAAGGGAATCTTGATTGGGCAGAGATTCACAGGCAGAGAAGGCCTGATAGGGTTGATAATACCAGGGGAGACCTTCTAGCCCTGAATATACCCAAGACCCACACACAACCCAGAGCTCTCAGACCTTGAGGGGAACTAATGGTGAGCTAACACAGTTCAGGTCATATTGAGGGCCAAAATGGACAGTGGCTCCTATGCAGGACCCTTGGGATCAATGGGAACAAGTCTCAGTTTTTTTTTATTTGTTTGTTTTTGGTTTTTTTCTGGCATGCATTTTATTTTAGACAGCAAGCTATTAATGAGGAAAACAGCAAGACATCAGAGAAGTCCCATTGTTTTGCTCTAGAGTGAGAGCCCTGGCTTGAGGGTAACTATAAGTTGGAAAAAGCAAAGCTCCTCCTTAGTCAAGTCTTCATTCATTGACTCATTCATTCAGCAAACAATTATGAACAGCCTCCTGTGTGCCAAGCCCTATTCTTGTCACTGGAAATACAATAGTGAGGAGACGGACGAGGAGCCTTCCTTCCTGGAGAGAAATGATAAATAAGCAGATAAATAAACAAGAAAATTTCTGAGAGCAGTAAGTGCAATGTAGACAAAGAAATGTTAACTTAGGAGTTGCGTGGGGATCAGGAGAGGGCTGCATAGGCAACATTAAGTGAAGTGGCGGCATTGGAGCTTTTATCCCAACATAGGAAGTAACACACTGAGTGCCTGGGGGACGGAGCCTCCCACAGCACAGAACTGGATGACAGCAGGTAGGCCAAGACTAAGAAGAATGGGAGAGGGCCCACCATCCAGAAAAGATTGAATTGGACCCAGGATGGAGAACAGCTCCAACAGCATCTTTTAGCACTCTCCCTCCTGGCCACCTTTATTTACCTAAGTGTGTTCCTGATGTCACTTTACCCCCACCCCTACCGCACCCCTCACACGTATACTTGCAAGAGTTAGTAGGAAACTCCATGGGGACATTTGACCTACCTGTCTGGGAGCAGCAAAAAAGAAGCAATTCTTGTAAAAGATTTTGTAAAAAGGAGAATGAACCCAGCAATGAGAAATCCCTAGCAGTCAGTGCCCATTAAGGCATGGGTAGCAGTTGGCCAAACTCTAGCAAGTCAATCAATCCTCAGTGACCCTCCCCTCTTTATAATCTGTCACAGCTCTGCCTTCAGCCAGACAGCATGCCTGGTATGGGTGAGACCCAGGCACTTTTTTGAGAATGCATTTTCCTTGGTCACCTTGTAGCAAAACAATCGTAAGGCTGTCGCCTCCAGTCCCAGGGCATGAGACAGGGCCTAATTCGCCGCGACATGGTCAGGTAAAAATCCATAGCCCATTGTGCAAGACTAGATTAAGTCACTTCACCTTTCTGTGCCTCACCTTTCTCATATGTCTGATAATGGAGGGTGAGGACTGCAGGTCGACCTGTCTCACAGGTGGGTGTGATGAGGATGGGAAGAGGTGATGGACTGAGAGGACCCGGAAGAGGTAAGGGTAACATGCGGATAGGAGAAGATCTTTTTATTAGCCCACAGTCTGATGGTCCCGGTAAAACTTCTGCCAAACCGTAGTTAGTAAACTGAGATTAATGCTCCTCAAAAGAAATGCCAGACTAACTAGGAGAATCAAGTTAGCTTTTGTTTTGTTTTTTAAGCTGCCCTTATGGATCTTACTTTAAGCTTTGGGTTTGGTTTCTTAAAGTTTGTTGATTCTATACATGCTATAAACTTCCTTGGCTGAGGAAGACACAATTTCTAGTCTGTGGGTGGGTTTTTGAGGATCCCCTTCAAAGCCTAGATTGCACCAGCGAGTATGGGGTGGACGATGGTCATCCCCTTTCATGAAGCCACATCCCCTTCTTTGGAGCCCAGTGGCCATGCAGCAGACGTCCTTTTCAAAGAAAAAGACCTCCTAGCCACAGGGGTCACCATTGGATGGTTTTCTCCAGGCCATTCTACGCAGTGACTAATTCTATGAACATTAAGCATGGTAAAAAGTAGTTTCCAACTCCATTCATCTGAACACCAAAAAAAAAACAAAACTGAAAAAACCAAACCCACTGCCATCCAGTCGATTGTGACTCATGAAAGCCAAAGAAAATACACACATACATGCAACATTTTATGGCAACCCTTAAAAAAATTCAATGAATTAATTCCTTTTGTAGCAAATTTCCACCAAATTCTCTATCCCGAAGCTAACACACACTGTAAAACGAAAGCCAGGGACAGCATGCACAATGCAGCTGCTAAAATCTTGCCAGCACAGGGCTCTTTCTGACTCTGCCCATGAGAAGTCATCAGCTTCCTGGTAACCAGCATGTCTTGGTCATGTTCTCTTCTTCTTATGCTGTGTTAATGTATTTGCTTTCCATTTGGCAGAGAGACAAGCGCGACACCTCCAACTTCGACAAAGAGTTCACCAGACAGCCTGTGGAACTCACTCCCACTGATAAACTCTTCATCATGAACTTGGACCAAAATGAATTTGCTGGCTTCTCCTATACTAATCCAGAGTTTGTCATTAATGTGTAGGTGAATGCAGATTCCATTGTTGAGCCTAGAAGGTCAGCCTTCAGGCCAAGTGTATGTATCAATTCTAGTCTTCCAGGATTCATGGTGCATATGCTGGCATTCAACACGCGGGGAGCTTGTCCTAGAGAGCTTTTCTTTGTACGTGTAGCTTGCTAGTTTGTTTTCTACATTTGAAAATGTTTAGTTTAGAATAAGCGCTTTATCCGATTATAGAGGTACAACTTTTCCAAACATCCAGACACTCATCAAATGGACAGACAGTGTCAAAACTTCTGTGTCTGATACCAAAATGCTTCAGTATTTGTAATTTTTAAAGTCAGAAGCTGATGTTCCTGGTAAAAGTTTTTACAGTTATTCTACAATATCTTCTTTGAATGCTAAGCATGACTGGTATTTTTAAAAGTTGTGAGTAAGCTTTGCAGTTACTGTGAACTATTGTCTCTTGGAGGAGATTTTTGTTTAAGAATTGATATGATTAAACCAAATTAATATATGCAACTCTCTGGTTTACATGGCTGTTTTTAACTGGAGTCTGTGGCATAGAGGTTATGGGTTGGAGATCCATAGGCAAATGAGGCCAGGAGATGAACTTTGTTTCACTCACATAGAATTTTCTTAATTAAACTCATTGTCAGTGGTGAAAAATGGAGTAGTTTATATAAACATCTGAACTTTCATATTCACTTGAAAAAATGAAAAGACTGACAGCACTGGGTCTACATTCCCAGGTGGAAATAATTAGACAGAATTGAGAAATGGCTGTCTCTTTAAAAGGAGTATATGCTCTTGTTTCACCACAGTCTCCACCATCCCCTATTGTATTATGCCTTCCGTTCACTTCCCGGGCCGCTGTAGCCATTTGAGGCTGAGAACCCTGCCAATTAAAAGGCACAGGATTGATGACCACAATATTTTCTTGTGCCCATAATCAGGGTGGAAACTCCAGTGGTGTAGTGGTTAAGAGCTACAGCTGCTGACCAAAAGGTCAGCAGTTCAAATCCACCAGGCACTCCTTGGAAACTCTATGGGGCAGTTCTACTCCGTCCTATAGGGTCGCTATGAGTCAGAATCGACTCAACGGCAACGGATGTTTTTTGTATAATCAGGGTATCTGAATCGCCAGCTAGTCAACATGGCTAATGTTTATTAAATCCTCAAGTATCAAGGGCATAAAATTTTCATTCCGGCCATGACAAAAGTCAGCAAGGAGCCTGGTGTCAGTACAGAGAGAACACTTTTCCATGGTCTATGAAGATGTCACTGTTTGTAAATCTACCTACTTTTTGCTATTTTCTCCTAATTAAGTTTCTGCAAAAAAAAGGTGAATGCCCTTTCCCAACAGCCATAGTTGCCTCGGAAGACCAGAAGAATTGGAGAAATTAAGGGAGATAAAACATGTTGGCATGGTAAGGAGTCTCCCTCTCTCACTCTCAGAGTAGCATGTTACTGAATCACTGGGTGTCCGCCTGATTCCTTTTTCTCTGAATGAAGTCATGCTTCTATTTTCTTTTTTGAAAGATGTAGTAATCCAGTCTGTAGCACATGCATTTGCAGCTGCTAAGGCCAGTGGGTAGGAGAAAAGAGCCAACGTGCCATACCAAGCACATTAAGACTTTCCAGCATTCATTCATCTCCTCCCTTCTTGGAAGAGTCCCAGTAAATGGAGCGTTGGGCAGATACAATGGATCCATTGATCCTAATGCGCTCATCTTTCCAGAATTTTAGAAATTCTTCCAGTTAAAATCAGTTGTAAAAATGATGTGGCAGAGGCATCTGACCTCCTCTAACTTCATGAGGGAGAGAAAAAATCACCATCAGCGTCAGCCCAAGGCTGACTCCTATGAGGTGGAGGTCAAACATACCTCCACCCTCCAACCTTTTTACCAGTTCTGACACCAGCTATCCCACCCACAGCATTCTTTACTTCTCTGCTGGGTTCAATAATTCATTGCAACGGGCACACAGAACTCACAGAACATACTCACAGTTATGGGGTTTATTAGGTGCCTTAGGCTTGGTTCTCTAGAGAAGCAAAACCGGTAAAGCATATAAATATAGATAGAAAGATTTATATCAAGCAAATGGCTCATGCAGTTGTAGAGGCTGTCCCAAGTCTGTGGGTCAGAAGAGAGGCTTCTCCTGATTCACGTACTTGCAGGGGTTGGCGAACCCAAGAGTGGCAGATCAGAGAACAGTGCTCTTGCTCACAGGCTACGAAGATCGATGAATCCCAAGATCGGCAGGCAAGACCACAGGTAAGCTGCTAGCTCAAGTCCCAAGAACCAGAGATCAGATGAGCAGGAGCCAGCTGCAGGATCCATTGTGAGCGAAAAGCCCCCGAGCCTTGCCAGAATGTTTGTTTATATTTGATGTAGACCACACACCTAAGGAAACTCCCTTTCAACTGATGGGCTATTTATAGCAGATCTCATCACGGAGGTGATCACATATCAAATCTTAACAGGGAAGTGTTCACAACATTATATGACAGTTGAAACACTGAGAATCATGGCCCAGCCAAGTTGACACACAATCTTAACCATCACTTTAGGGAAGTAACAGGTTAAAATTCAGGATCAGGAATTACAGGATACAGTTCTTTGGTCAGGATAGCTTCTCAGCCATGTCCACAGGCAGTCTTCTCTCTGACCTTCAGCCCCTCAGCCCCTTGGCCTTCAGCCTGGCCTCTGCCCTGCTCAGACAAACATTACAAGGCTTTTTAGTTCTGCTAATAAGTGCCCAGGTGCACAGCACTCTGCCAGTAAGCCTCGGCCTCAAGGTGCTCAGCTCTCCCACTCCGTGGGCCAGGAAGTCCACCACACCGTCTCCTGCCAGTCTTCTGCCAATCTCCTGGTTCTGCTACCTGCCAGTTCTCTGCCATGCTTGCTGCCACTTCTGGCCGTCATGTGCTGTCTCCAGTGTTACAGCTCTCTCTCTGTCTCCTGGGTCTAGGAGGTTCTCAGTACAGGAACCCTGGGTCCAAAGGACATGCTCTGCTCCTGTCTGTTCTTCTTGGTGGTAGTGAGGTCCCCCCATCTGCCTCTGGATGGCTCATTTTAAGCCTAGCGGGGATGGCAAAACTGACCAATCCCCTTGTTAGGGTTCCATACACCTTATTTGCATCGCCTCACCCCCTCAAGCATACCATGCATCTTATTTGCATTATTAGCAAGCAATCCAATCCTTTTGGTGGGCCAAAAGCACTTCATTTGCATAGTCCCACCCAGTCATTTGGTGGGAGTTACAAGACCATGGCGAGAAAGGCCATAGAAGAAAAGCAATCCACTGCACTCCATCAGTTAAAAACAAAGAATAAAATGTGTGTTCTTTGTATCACATTTAGAAAACTAAAATGTATGGGTTTTATAGATGTTTGATGACATGTTCCATTTAAGATGATATTGTTGAAGAGGTTATCATTGCTACTGCTGATTCCTCATGTGTTCTCCCTGTGATGAATATGAACTCATCTTTTGTAAGTATTGAGCAGCTTCTCTGAGCCATGCACAGCTCTGGGTGCTAGGGATACAGAGGTCTACAAGAAAGTCCAGGACTTTCCACTCATGGGACGAGATGGCTGCAGAATTCTGAGACTCATCTCCCTAGGATCATATCCAGGGAGAAAGAGTGAGAGTGTTTTCTGGGAGCTCCTATAATACTCCTTTGGTTTTATCTGATTGGGCCAGTCTGGCCACATGGAGATACGTGAGCCAATCACTGTGACTGGGATGGAGAGGAGAGGTAGGTGAGATGCTTTGATTGGCCAGACCTAAGCTTTATTATTGTTTGCAGTGTAACATATTACCCCAAAACTTTAAAACAAGAAACATTTATTACCTCTCAATATCTGTGGGTCAGGAATCTGGGTGTAACTTAGCTGGTTGAAGATCTCTCATGAGGTTGCAGTCAAGCTGTTGGTCAGAGTTGCAATCACATATGAAGTTTCAGTTGTGGAGGGGAGAGGTGGAGCTCACTACCAAGCTCATTCACATGATAGCTGGCAGTCTAACCACATAGGCCTCTCCATAGGGCTGCCTCACAACATGGCAGCTGACTTCTCCCAGAGTTAATGATCCAAGTGAGAGTGCCCAATTTGCAAGCCACAGTCTTTTTGTAACTGAATCTCAGAAGTGATATCCCATCATGTTGCTGTTCTCTATTCTTTAGAAATGAGTTATTAAGTCCAGCCCACACTCAAGGGGAGGAGATTACACAAAGGTGAGAATACCAGGAGGTGGAGGTCTTTGGAGACCATCTTAGAGGCTGCCTACCACAATATGTCATCAGCTGTACCTCTGAAGCTAGGGGTAGAGTTCCACCCAAACCACATGACCTCAGAATTGGCAAAGGATAACTCTTGGAAAAAGGGGAATGGGTGCTCAGGAAACAAACTACAATGGTGTATTTTCTGCAGATGGGAATTTTGTGCTGGCCCAAAGCTTCTCTGAGGCTAATGAAGTGTCAGAGATGAACCAACACCTAGATGTACTCAAAGGAGTGACTCACCTGGCTTGTCACTTGGTCCACAGAGCTCCCCGGGATCCCATCAGGGCTTAAGTGAAAGGAAGGACCATGCAGGAAAAGATTTTAGGGATCCCAATCCCATTTTACTGCCAAACTCACCACCAAAGGCAAGGCCCTAAATCTGACCTTCTGATAACTTAACAATCCTTGACCTTCAGGGCCTTAAAACCCACCAAGAAAACGAGTTTGTGGAAACATACAAATAATATAAGTCTATATAAATTATCTAATATTGGGTAACAAAACACCTCAAAATTTAGTGGCTTTACAAAACAATCATTTATTTATCTCACAATTCTGTGTGTCAGCTGGTGGTGCTCCTGGTCTGGCCATCCAAGCTTATCTCTGTTGGCCTTGCCCATGTATCTTCAGTCAACTGGAAGGTCAGCTGCTGACTAGGTGGGCTAGGATAGCCTCATTCACATGTATGGTGTTTGATAGACCCATTGGTCTAAAGAAATCTCAGCTGAGATGGCTTGTTTTTGCTCCATTTGGGCTCTCATGTTCTGGTAGGCTAGTATAGCCCTCTTCATATGGTGGTTTCAAGGACTCCAAAGAGTAAGAACAGGTGACAAGCCCCACCCAGTGCACAACTACTTTTTTAAGCCTCTGCTTATGTCATGTTTACTGCTTTCCCATAGGCCAAAGCAAGTCACATGGCCAAGTCCAAATTCAAGGGGTGGAGAAACAGACCCCACCTCTGAATGGGGAATGCGGAATCACATTTCAAAAGGGGTGGGCACAGGGATGGGAAAAATTTGTGGCTGTTTTTGTATCTACCACACAATCCATCAATGGAAACTTTTATGAATTTAGCATCAAAATAATACGACGGATGGGAAAAGAAATTGCCAGAAACATCCTGGGCTGCTCCATGGTCAGGCCATAGAGATCACCAAGGGTCAGTCTTTTTACTTGTCTCTAATCTCAACACGCAAAACATAATACCAGATTTCAGGCTCGTCAATTGAATAACCAGAGCCAACTTGCTAGCTGATGATGTAGACTCTTCAGACTGATTGAAGACAAACTTCACAAATCTTCAGATGTTATTCCTACCATGGTTCTTTTTCTAACCCCACATGCAAACTGAAATGCTGGTGAAATCAGAAAGGAATGCAAAGCAAGATAAACAGGAACCAAATAGGGGGCACCCAAGCTAGTACCACCTATCAATGTCTGCCTCTAAAAGTGCTGAAGCCCAACATCTCAGATCCCAGATCGTTGCTCATTTTGATGTGAGACTGCCTTGACCCACATGGAATTATGCTGCCCATCACTTCCTAGACAAGCAATGCTGGCTCCAAAAGTGAGCCCTGATTTCCCAAAACAACAAAGGTTTGAACTCTAGAGAACCTGCCCAATGACTGCACCACACTCTCATCACAAATGTATTTTTCGCTTAAATACTAGTCTCCCTGAAGGGAGGAGTGTGCTGTCGCAGAATGGGGTGAGCAATTAGGGTCACATAACAATGTATGTATACACTTTTGTACAGGAGACTAACTTGAAATGTAAACTTCATTTAGACTACAGCAATAAGAATAAATAAATAAAGTTGGAAGACCACCCAGTAAAAAAAAAATACTAGTTTCCCTGGAATATAACCTACCCAGATTAGGCCACATTTCAGAATGAAATTAAAATGGTATTTGGAGGAGAGAGATAAGAACATCCAATTCTCTTTTCAACCAGCCATTCCTGCTCACAAGCTCCAAGAGGGAAATAAATGCATAGAGGACAATGCCTAGCAAATTAAAAGTCTATTACTATGTGACAATTTGACTGCATACCCCAATGTGGGATCCTAGTCCTAAAGTGGGCTGGATTGCATGGAGAACTCATAAATATCATGCAGGTTATATTAGTTATTTATCACTGTTTACAAATTACTCCCAAAATCTGCGGCTTAAAACAGCATATACTTATTATTATTATCTATTAACATTTATTATTTCTTAACATTTATTATCTCACCATTTCTGTGGGTCAAGAATCCAGGCATAGCTTAGCTAGAGCTTCTGCTTCAGAGTCTCTTAATAGGCTGCAATCAAGATGTTGCCTGGGGCTGTGGTCTCAGCTGAAGGTTCAAGTAGGGAAGAATCCACTTTCAAGCGCACTCACGGGGTTGTTAGCAGGATTCAGTTCCTTGCAAAATGTTAGCTTGAAGACCTCAGTTCCTCACTGGCTCTTGGCTGTGTGGGTCTCTCCAACATAACATCTTGCTTTGTCAAAGTGTGCAATCTAAGAAGGCAGTATAGAGAGAAAATCAGCAAGATGAAAGTTCTAGTCTCTTGTAACCTAATCACTGAAGTGACATCTTATCATTTTTGCTGTATTATTTTTGGTACAAGCAAGTTACTAGGTCAGCCCACACTCAAGGGGAAGGGATTACAC